TTTAAGTGTAACTCCCACATCCGGGTACATAGGACAATGTAATTGCTATCAATTTGAAGGCCAACCATTCCTCTTCGATATATTATAAACTCCTCAGGTCTATGTCCATCAGGAGTAAATTTATACGCCATAGAATACAAATTTTGTAATTTTTCACACAAAAGTCAGGGTCCATTTGACCAGCTAAATATTGACCGATCTTTATCAAAACAGGCATGTTTATTCTTTGGCCCGATCCCCTTCTCCATGTAAAAATTCGTGATATTTGGGCCATAATTGCGGCCACTGGGGCAGCAGACAAAAATAAAGTTTATGGTCCATTTCATCCCCTAAATATTAACCGATCTTTACCAGAACACCAATAGGGGTCTTCATTTGCCAAAACCCCTCCTACATGCAAAATTTCTTGAAGATTGGTCCATAACTGTGGCCTGTATCGTATCGTGTTTACAAAATTATAATGAACAGACGGACGAACACATGTCTAGATTGACTCAGCTAGTCGAGATATGACGATCGGTATACGTAAAGGGCCAATATTTCGCGGTGTTACCAACTCTTGTTGCTGCACAAAGCTATAATAGCCTGACAACATGGTTGTGTAGGGTATAAAAAATATTTTTTAAGGCTCGCAATTTTATACACCTAGCATTTATCTTTATTAACTAATTATTTTTACAATCTTAATAATAATTAACACCTCTTCATTGTTAATTATTCGCATATTAATTACGAAGTAGTTTTTTTGAGAATATTAATCAATTTAAATTTAAAATTTTGTTTCACAATTTATTTTCTACCCAAACGTCCCAGCGATCCTCGGGCACCAATTAGGCCAGGACCACGACTACTGCCCAAACGACTGCCATATCCATGAAAACCGGCATCAAATCCGCCAGCTTCAGCACCAAATCCTCCATAATTAATTAAACGGCCAAAGGCATAATTCTGACCCCTAGCTAGCCATGGCGAACAGCTTAGAATTAGCAGCAGAACAATTCCGTAAAATTTCATTTCGATGACGATGTTGTTGTTGTGGTTGCTTCTGTATTTTATTATGAAATGTTACAACGTTCGCATAAAAATGGGATAATTTATATAGTTTCGTAGACAAGTAGGCTAAACTATATTTGAATTATTTTTTTCCTGACCTCTAATTAATTCCTAGGCTAGAAAACAATGGATTTTAAAATAAATATTTCGATCATGAGAAAATTTGAAATGTTGACTTTATTAACCTTAATTTTCATTCATAAAAACATGATATTTTAAAATTTTTTTAACCTTGGATTTTTAAAAGAATTTTTTCTCAAGGCGAGGATTTTTAAAATAATTTTTTTCTCAAGGCGTGGATTTTTAAAATAATTTTTTTCTCAAGGCGTGGATTTTTAAAATAATTTTTTTTTTAGGCGTGGATTTTTAAAATAATTTTTTTCTCAAGGCGTGGATTTTTAAAATAATTTTTTTCTCAAGGCGTGGATTTTTAAAATAATTTTTTTTTAGGCGTGGATTTTTAAAATAATTTTTTTCTCAAGGCGTGGATTTTTAAAATAATTTTTTTCTCAAGGCGTGGATTTTTAAAATAATTTTTTTCTCAAGGCGTGGATTTTTAAAATAATTTTTTTCTCAAGGCGTGGATTTTTAAAATAATTTTTTTCTCAAGGCGTGGATTTTTAAAATAATTTTTTCTCAAGGCGTGGATTTTTAAAATAATTTTTTCTCAAGGACTGGATTTTTAAAATAATTTTTCTCAAGGCGTGGATTTTTAAAATAATTTTTTCTCAAGGCGTGGATTTTTAAAAGATTTTTTTCTCAAGGCGTGGATTTTTAAAATAATTTTTTTCTCAAGGCGAGGATTTTTAAAATAATTTTTTTCAGAAGGCGTGGATTTATAAAATAATTTTTTTCTCAAGGCGTGGATTTTTAAAATAATTTTTTTCTTAAGGCGTGGATTTTTAAAATAATTTTTTTCTCAAGGCGTCGATTTTTAAAATAATTTTTTCTCACGGCGTCGATTTTAAAAATATTTTTTTTCTCAAGGAGTGGATTTTTAAAATAATTTTTTCTCAAGGTGTGCATTTTTAAAAAAAAATTCTCAAGGCGTGGATTTTTAAAATAATTTTTTCTCAAGGCGTGGATTTTTAAAATAATTTTTTTCTCAAGGCGTGGATTTTTAAAATAATTTTTTTCTCAAGGCGTGGATTTTTACAAATAATTCTTTTCTCAAGGCGTGGATTTTTAAAATATTTTTTCTCAAGGCGTGGATTTTTTAAATAATTTTTTTCTGAAGGCGTGGATTTTTTAAATATTTTTTTCTCAAGGCGTGGATTTTTAAAACAAATTTTTCTCAAGGCGTGGATTTTTAAAATAATTTTTTCTCAAGGCGTGGATTTTTAAAATAATTTTTTTTAGAAAGCGTGGATTTTTAAAATAATTTTTTCTCAAGGCTTGGATTTTAAAAAATAATTTTTTCTCAAGGCGTGGATTTTGAAAATAATTTTTTCTCAAGGCGTGGATTTTGAAAATAATTTTTCTGAACCTACCCAAGAATTCTTTATATATTTTTGTTTAGTTTTTTTCCATTTCTCCACAATGGAATAGCTAATCACTTTGGTGAATTACAAATGTGTTTTCAATATTTCTTAGAAATAGTAAACACCAACGAGATTACCAGCTGTCACGACAATCTTCCGACAAACCACTTTTATTTGAGTTCAGTATATATAAAGACCTCAACCTTGTCTATTGACATTCATATTTTCATTGGAAGCGGAAGAGAGAGAGAGAGCGCCAATATGAAATTCTATATTTTCTGTGCATTTATTCTGAGCTGCTTGGCATTGCTTTGCAATGCCCAATATGGTGGTGGTCGAACCAATGGAGGAGGTGGTGGACCCTATGGAGGAGGCGGCGGTGGTGGTGGTGGCCCTATTGGAGGAGGTGGTGGTGGCGGTGGTCCCATAGGAGGTGGCGGTGGTGGTCCCTATCAGGGTTGATTGAGAAAACCTTTGATCAGTTTTACTGATCTATTGATCTGATTGGCTGTCAATAAATAATTTTTATTTTAAATTCATTAAAATGTATTAATTGTTGTGTTAATAAAATATTTTGTTAATTATTGTAATAAAAAAATTATTTTAAAAATCCACGCCTTGAGAAAAAATTATTTTAAAAATCCAGGCCTTGAGAAAAAAATTATTTAAAAAAAATCCACGCCTTGAGAAAAAATTATTTTAAAAATCCAGGCTTTGAGAAAAAATTATTTAAAAAAATCCAGGCTTTGAGAAAAAATTATTTTAAAAATCCACGCCTTGAGAAAAAATTATTTAAAAAAATCCACGCCTTGAAAAAAAAATTATTTAAAAAAAATCCACGCCTTGAGAAAAAATTATTTTAAAAATCCAGGCATTGAGAAAAATTATTTAAAAAAATCCAGGCCTTGAGAAAAAATTATTTTAAAAATCCAGGCTTTTAAAAATCCACGCCTTGAGAAAAAAATTATTTTAAATCCACGCCTTGAGAAAAAATTATTTAAAAAAATCCACGGCTTGAGAAAAAAATTATTTTAAAAATCCACGCCTTGAGAAAAAAATGATTTTAAAAATCCACGCCTTGAGAAAAAAATTGTTTTAAAAATCCACGCCTTGAGAAAAAATTATTTAAAAAAATCCACGCCTTGAGAAAAAAATTATTTTAAAAATCCACGCCTTAGAATAGCCTCAGAAATAAATTATATTAAATATCCACGACTTGAGAAAACAATTATTTTAAAAATCCACGCATTGAGAAAAAATTATTTAAAAAATCCACGCCTTCAGCAAAAAATTATTTTAAAAATCCACACCTTGAGAAAAAATTATTTTAAAAATCCACGCCTTGAGAATAAAATAATTTTAAAAATCCACGCCTTGAGAATAAAATGATTTTAAAAATCCACGCCTTGAGAAAAAAATGATTTTAAAAATCCACGCCTTGAGAAAAAAATGATTTTAAAAATCCACGCCTTGAGAAAAAACTGATTTTAAAAATCCAGGCCTTGAGAAAAAAATTATTTTAAAAATCCACGCCTTGAGAAAAAACATTATTTTAAAAATCCACGCCTTGAGAAAAAAAATTATTTTAAAAACCTACGCCTTGAGAAAAAATTATTTTAAAAATCCCCACGACTTGAGAAAAAAAAAATTATTTTAAAAATCCACGCCTTGAGAAAAAAAATTATTTTAAAAATCCACGCCTTGAGAAAAAACTGATTTTAAAAATCCAGGCCTTGAGAAAAAACTGATTTTAAAAATCCAGGCCTTGAGAAAAAAATTATTTTAAAAATCCACGCCTTGAGAAAAAACTGATTTTAAAAATCCAGGCCTTGAGAAAAAACTGATTTTAAAAATCCAGGCCTTGAGAAAAAACATTATTTTAAAAATCCCCACGACTTGAGAAAAAAAATTATTTTAAAAATCCACGCCTTGAGAAAAGTTTTTTTTTTAAATCCACGCCTTGAGAAAAAAAATTATTTTAAAAATCCACGCCTTGAGAAAAGTTTTTTTTTTAAATCCACGCCTTGAGAAAAAAATTATTTTAAAAATCCACGCCTTGAGAAAAAACTTATTTTAAAAATCCACGCCTTGAGAAAAAACTTATTTTAAAAATCCACGCCTTGAGAAAAATTTTTTTTTTAAAATCCACGCCTTGAGAAATTTTTTTTTTAAATCCACGCCTTGAGAAAAATTATTATTTTTAAAATCCACGCCTTGAGAAAAAAAATTATTTTAAAAATCCACGCCTTGAGAATTTTTTTTTTAAATCCACGCCTTGAGAAAAATTATTATTTTTAAATCCACGCCTTGAGAAAAATTATTATTTTTAAAATCCACGCCTTGAGAAAAAAAAATTATTTTAAAAATCCACGCCTTGAGAAAAAAATTATTTTAAAAATTTCACACCTTTTTCTATTTGGAGGAAATTTTATTTTTTTAAATTTATATTTTTCAAACATGTATTAGTTTTAAATATTCTTCATCCCAGCTGCATTGAATTTTTCCAAAATACACATGGTGGCCTTGTGGGAACGTTCACAGCGATCCGTCTCCCCCATAATGCCTTCATTGCACATGGCTATAATTCCCTTGAGTTGTTGTATCTCCACGGCGTTATTAAAGAGATAGGTAAAGAAGGGTATTACAGCCGTCTCATCGAGGGAATTATCCTCAGAAAACTGAAACGGGAAGATATTTTTTTTAAAATTAAAAAAAAATGATTGAAAATAATCACTTCTTACCAAATCATGTTTCTTCATAATACAGTAACGTATGCACTTGGCATTACGCACTGCATCACGGGAACCCATTAAAATATCCTGGAAGCCATCTAAAAAGAAAAGGGATTTTTTCGAAATTTTAAAATCTAAAAGATGATATATGAAAATTTATGAATAAATGTGAGCTCTTATGGGTTTTTAGTTTTTTTTATATTTGTTGATGGATTATTTCCAATAAATTCAAGAGTTCTTTGACCCAATGGAGGACCTTTTCTTACCATCTGTGATTTCAATTTTCTTGGTTTTCGCCTCATCTTCATAGCAATCTTCTACAGACATTTTTGCCATTTCCAGTAGAGCATTTGAGGAGTCCGATTGCTGGAATATTATGAAAAAATATTTATAAAAAATAATAATTAAAATCAACTTGATTTTTAATATTTTTTCAAATTATTTTAAATATCCACGCCTCATAGGTCCTTAAGAAAAAATGTTATTCTAAAAATCCCCGCTTTATATGTCCTTAAGAAAAAAATATTGAGAAAAAAATTATATTTAAAATAAAAATACACGCCTTCAGAAAAAATTATTTTTAAAAATTTACGCCTTGTGTTGGCTTCAGAAAAAATATTTTAAAAAATCCACGATTCGTGTTGGCATCAGGAAAAAATATTTCAAAAATCCACGCCTTGTGTTGGCTTCAGAAAAATATTAATTGAATTTTTTAATCTATTTATTTAATTTTTATTATGTTTGTTTGAAATATAATATCTCTTACCTGCAAGGTCTCCTTAATGCCCAGCATAATAACAAAAATTATAAACTTGTTCATGTTTTCAATGAAGTTATGTTTTTTTTAATTTTAATTTTTTTTCAATGAATTTAATCCCCTTCAATACAAAACTACACCGACGACTAACTAAAATTTCTAATATTTTCCAAGCATCTTATATTTTTTCTGGTCTCAAATTTACAATGAAGGAAAAACGACTATTTTCTCATGAGTTAATTTAAATTGTAAATGAAAATGGTTTTGGGAAGTTGCCTGGGAAATTTGTGGAACAAAATATTTACATCCGATTACCACAAATTCAATAAAAATTCATTTGTAATTTCACAAATGCATTTTTCTCATACACATTTTATGGAAAATATATCTATTTTTAAATCAAATGTAATCAACAGTTTGTCTAGAATTATTTTCTTTTTTTTTCTTTTTGTTTTTGAAAATGTGTTGGCACTTATGTTTGCCTGAAATATTTTTTCCAGAAAATTGTGGTCAGGCATTTTTTAAATATCCTCGTTTTGAAAAATTATTATTTTAAAAATGTATTCCTACTCTTGGCAGTAAAATATTTATCTTTTATTATGCACACCTTGGGATAAAATTATCTAAATAAGTGATGCAGTGTGGTAGCTGCATGTTGCGTGGAAATTATTGTGGAAAAAATCAACGTCGTTAGATATCTTGGAAAAATATTATTAAAAAACCAGTGAGCGCAGCAGTATAGTCGGACGGGGCCGACCATATGATACCCCACACAAATTCCACAAAAGACAAAATTTCTGTAGTTCTAAGTTCTGAGCTTGGCAAATATTTCGCGATATTTGCATCCTCTTGACCGACTAGAGGTCAAGAAATATTATGAATTTTCAGCGACAGCACTTGTAATTACTTGTCCAGATTCCCTTCATCGTGGGTTGTGTTTTGATGTTCGGCTTTCAACTGTGACCTATAGATCGATTCGAAAAAAAACACAAACAATTAAGTTTTCATCCCAATATTATTATCACCGAAAATTATATGCGTTGTCCATAACTGGAACCCCATGGAAAATTTCCAAGCGATCAACGCTATATTTCCGCCCTCTAGTGTGGTAATGGGTTACTTTAAGTGTAACTCCCACATCCGAGTACATACGACAATATAATTGGTATCAAATTAAAGGTCAATCACTCCTCTTATATATATTATCAACTTCTCGGGTCTATGTCCTTCAGGGGTAATTATATACGCTTTAGAATACAAATTTTGTCATTCTGCAGACAAAAGTCAGGTCCATTTGACCCGCCAAAAATTGACCGATCTTTATCAAAACAATCATGCGTATATTTTGGCCCGATCCCCTTCTCCATGTAAAAATTCGGCCATAATTGCGGCTTCTGGGCTAGAAAATCAGAAGAAAATAAAGTTTTTGATATATTTCATCCCCTAAATATTAACCGATCTTTAAAAAAACAACAGGAGTCTTCATTGCCCAGAACCCATTCTACATGCAAAATTTTACGAAGATTGGTCCATAACTGTGGCCTGTATCGTGTTTACGAATTATAATGGACAGACGGACGGACGAACGGCCGGACACACATGTTTAGATCAACTCAGCTAGTCGAGATATGACGATCGGTATACATAATGGTGGGTCTAGGACCAATATTTCGCGGCGTTACAAACTCTTGGACTTCACAAAGCTATAATATAATGATATTAAAAAATCTCAGTCTTGTGGGACTATTGAAAGAATTATTTTCAAAATCCACATTATGTGATAGCCTAAAAAAAATTATTTCAAAAATCCGCACCTTTTGGTTGTAGAGAAAAAAACACTACATTAGGAAAACCAGTGAGCGGAGTAGTATAGTTGGACGGTGCCGACCATATGATACCCTACACAACTACCACGAAAAGCACAGTTTCGGCGGTTCTATATTCTGAGCCTGGGCAATATTTCGTGATATTTGCAACTTATTTACCGATTATAGATCAACAACTCCTTTTCTGAGTCTTGCATATTTTCCAAAATGTTTTTTCTTGAAGTGAATTTTTACGCCATACATTAAAAAATTGGTCACTTTAGGTTTTAGTTGATTTGACCCTCGGAAAATTGACCGATCACCATCTAAACAGCCGCTCTAAGTATTTGGATTTTTCTGTGTTGAAGCTCATACCGACATCTATTCAAATATAGATGAATTCCCATTGCACAAGCATCACAACTCCTAAAAGTATGCAATACATTTATGGTTCAAAAGAATGATAATTGAGAATTTTACATTGATTTGAGTATTTACATCTGAAATTTAAAGTATTTATTTATACATCGATCCTGAATTAGTTTTGAAAGGGAGGGAAAGTATCGAATCGTCATTTATCCACACTTAGAAATAATTAACTCAACTGAGGTCTGGTAATAATCAGGAGCATAATCAAGAGCATTACACAATTGTTCAATATTTTCCTTTCACTCATAAGGGTCTTATCTAAATAGAAGTACTTCTGAGAGTCCTATAAACCTCCAGTTAGTCTACTAAAAGGAAAGAAGACCTACAGTATGTATTTTACAAAGGTCGTTGGCCCCTTAATGGCCTACAGAGGAGATAGAAGTTATCCATCTATAAATAACAGATTCTCAGATAGAAAACATTCTATAGATATGAGATCCTTGATGGCTATCCGAGATTATTCGATAAATATAAGCCAACCAAAAATTATTTTATAGGGAGGCATGCTAGACTATTCTAAATACCAGTAGGCTTTGATTTATAGGAATGGTGTAGATTTTTATGATTATTTTTCAAGCGTGGATTTCTAAATATTTTTTCAAGAACTAATAAAGGTTGAATTTTTAAAATATTTTTGGGGAAACGAGGAATATTAAAAAATATGAAGTATTTTCTTATTAGGGATGCAAATTTTCCTACCAAAAATTATCGATATCGTTTCTTCATAAAGGTCCCGCCTAATTTCCGACATTTAGAAGATTCTGGCCACATTTTTAGGTGTTAGGAGGATTCTATATTTAATTGCAGAACATTCTACATAAAGATCTATATTTTGAAATATATAAAGGCCACTACCTTTTTTTGGCATTTTGAAAATTTTAGCCAAAAATTTGTCATTCATTTTTTTGCCGATTTTCTCTGGCAGAAAATTAACAAGACTTTTGTTTTTTCACTTATTACTGCTTTTGTGAGTAAAGAGCATGCACAAAGCATTAGTCCTTGTGTTCGTTTCGTTTATCATTGTTTTTATTCCAGCTACGTTCAGGCTCTGTCGGCTGTAACCTGTCCTTGGTGATGGGGCTGCCATCTAGTGTTGCAGAGAAACCACACCTCCTTGAATTTTCAGCACTGGTTGGTGTCTATGCTTATTTAGTGTTGCAATTTTCCATGGGGTAGTGCAATCTCGACATACACATCTATTCTTTGTAATATCCTAATCTCCTTACAAATATTCGAAAAGCACTTTGAAATAATTTTTCAATTACATAACTTCCATTATTAAGGTACAACACATGGTGGAGGATACCTCAAGTTCTACGCGGCCAAACACAACGACTATTTATATGATTTAAAAAAAATGCATTTCCAATTTCAGTGGATGTTTAAAAAAATGTTTTTTTCAAGGATTCTGTTGAGTAATTTTTATACCCTACACAACTATGTTGTCAGGGTATTATAGCTTTGTGCAGCCCCAAATGTTTGTAACGCCGCGAAATATTGGTCCTAGACCCACCTTTAAGTATACCGATCGTCATATCTCGACTAGCTGAGTCGATCTAGACATGTGTGTCCGTCCGTCCGTCCGTCTGTCCATTATAATTTGTAAACACGATACAGGCCACAGTTATGGACCAATCTTCACGAAATTTTGCATGTAGGATGGGTTCTGGCCAATGAAGACCCCTATTGTTTTTGGGAAAGATCGGTTAATATTTAGGGGATGAAATGGACCAAATACTAAATTTTTGTCGGTTTTTCTGGTCGCTCCAGAGGCCGCAATTATGGCCCAAACACCGCGAATTTTTGCATGGAGAATGGGATCGGGCCAGAGAATAAGCATGCATGTTTTGATAAAGATCGGTCAATATTTAGCGGGTCAAATGGACCCTGGCTTTTGTGTGAAAAATGACAAAATTTGTATTCTATGGCATATATATTTACTCATGGAGGATGTAGACCCCAGGAGTTGATAGCATATCCAAGAGGAGTGGTTTTCCTTTAAATTGATACCAAATATAGTGATGTATCTACTCAGATGTGGGAGTTACAGTCAAATATTTACAGGTGCTTACGTATTCAGATATTATTTAGTAACCCATTACCACATTAGAGGGGGAAATATCGCGCTGATGGCTTCAAAATTTTTAATGAAGTTCCAGTTATGGTCAAGAACAACGCCTACAATTTTCGGTGATGATCAGATTAAAATTTTGGGATGAAATGGACCGAAAACATAATTTTTTGGGTGTTTTCGAGTAGAGTATAATCCGAAAATCTCAACACAACCTACCGTGAAGGTAATCTGGACAAGTAAATAGAAGGATTGTACTGAATATTCGAAAAAAGTAAGGAAGTGGTGTTGTTAACCTCTAATCGGACAAGAGGGGGCAAATATCACGAAATATTACTCAGACTCGGAATAAACATCCTCAGAAAGTTAGAGTTCGTGGTAGTTGTGTAGGGTATCGCATGGTCGGCCCCGTCCGACTATACTGCTCCGCTCACTGGTTTAAGGATATTTTTCAGGCGTGGATTTAAAAAAACAGAATTTTAGGGACTATCAGGCGTTGATTATATAAGTAGATTGTTATGCGTGGACTCAAGGCCTTAAGATAACATCATGCATGGCTTTAAAAAAAAAAAAATCTAAGACTACTTTTTTCAAGGACTATTAGGACTGTCTTTTAGTAATTATCCAAAAACAATCAGGGTTTTTCTTTCCAGGAAGGTTTTTTATACCCTTCACCACACTGTGGCACAGGGTATTATGTATTTGTGCATATGTTTGTAACAGGCGATTTATCTAGTCCGTCCGTCCGTTCGTCTGTTGGTGTTAAATTGTA